ATGCAAATAAACCGCATCTTCTAAAAATATATGCAAAAATCATTAAAAATATAACTTAATGCTACTCTGCCACCAAATACTGCATAGAAAATTTCAAAGCTAGAATGAGATTCTGAATTTCAAATAGTTCAAAGAAGCAACATTCCTCCCTCATTTCCTTCCTCTCTCATTCTCTCTCTCCTCTCTCTGGGGCATGTTTGGAGTAACTTCTCCAAAGCTAGGTAATTTGTATTCTATTTCTGTGGAAACATTCTGTGAGTTGTATCAACACTTTTTCACTTTTCATTGCTGGGCACATATTGGTTCATACCGGTTCCTGTTGTGTTGACAAGAATATCTATTGCCTGATTCAGACCTCTTGAATCAGGCAATAGATATGTAACCTTAGGAAGAGAAGTAGTACATGTTTTGTAGAAGTTGTTGAAAAGGAATTGGCTGCAAATAAATGTAACCTTCTCTCCATTTTCGGCATGATACCTGTATTAGTTAGGGTGTTTTGCTTTAAAGCAAGAGAATCCAACTTTGACTAACTTAAGGGGGAAAGGAATTTATTGAAAGAATGCTGGTTTGCATTATCTTTTCAATAGTCTATAACTAAAATCTGGGGGAAATATTTTATAATTAAAAATTATATAAGATTTTATTTTATACAACTTTATTTCACAAATTTGAAAATTTAGGTAAAATGAATAATTCCTAGAAAAATGTAACTCTCCAAAATTAATATAAGGATAAAAGAAAATAGATTATAACAATTTTTATAAATAAATGTATAATTAAAAACCTTCCTATAAAAAAAAACCTCTCCAGGCCCAAATGGCTTCACTGGCAAGTTCCACAAATATTAAAAAAATTAATAACAATGTCATCTGAAACAAAGATGACAAGAAAAAAAGACAAAGCTGTCCCAACTTCACTGTGAGGACCATAAACCTTGATACCAAAGCCCAACAAGAGACTTCCACTTCCAGAAAGACATTCTTTTTTATATTCCTCTTGGTAAGTATAGCTAAAAAGGTTTGACATTGTAAATAAAACAAATCAGACAATTCTGTAATGTGGAGAGAGACAGGCAGACTAGATAGAGACCTCAGACACAGGTGCTTGATGAATGAATGAATGAATGAATGATCACTAAGTGATGTATCTATTAAGCATGCACAGCTATTAAATGCATTATTGAAGAAAAAACAAATTCTGTCCCCAGTCTCTTTGAAATTGTTCTATCTCATGTACACATTGGCCAATTTAAAAAGAACAAACAGACAGCTTATACAAAAGTGAAGGGGGGAAAAGTCTGCTAACACTATAAACACAAAATAAACTCCTTGTTATACAAGGATAGTGATGATAAGAGAGTCATTTTCCTCCCATAGAGTGAAGAAAATACTGTGGAAAAAGCAGAAGTTTAGGAAATCTGTGAATATGAAAAGAACATTCCAAATCTAGGATTAAAGTACAGATTCTGAAAAGGAAACAAAGTATGAAAACTGCTTAGGCTAGGTCAGATATATGGGCCATTTTCCTAAACAATCAAAAACTGTTACAGAACCCATGGAGAGCGAAGGCAAGAAGGAAAAAGTAGAAAAGAAAGAAACAAGAATGAAAGGTTTTTTTTTCATTATTTTATACAAGAATGTAAGCTCATCTAAAGCACTCAATGCTTAGAACATACTAAAAGCCAATAAAGACTAGCCAGTGATGGCGAACCTCTGACACACGTGTCAGAGGTGACATGCAAACTCATTTTTTGGTTGATTTTTCTTTGTTAAATGGCATTTAAGTATATGAAATAAATATCAAAAATATAAATCTTTGTTTTACTATGGTTGCAAAGATCAAAAAAATTCTATATGTGACACGGCACCAGAGTTAAGTTAGGGTTTTTCAAAATGCTGACACACCGAGCTCAGAAGGTTCGCCATCACTGGACAAGACAATCAAGAAATCCACACATCGAATGGACACACCGAGCTCAGAAGGTTCGCCATCACTGGACAAGACAATCAAGAAATCCACCTGCTCATGGGGCCCCTGGCGGCTCAGCCCTCGGGGGCATTCTTGGCAGTGTTGCCTATGTCATCATGACGTGGAAGGCAACCCCTGCATGTAAGCCACTGACAGCCTTCATAGCCAAACACTGCGGCCTGCTCGTGCCAATGCTCAAGTTTCCTAGGCGTTATGGAACCATAATCCTGATATCCACCAAGTATCCAAGATGACCTTGTTCACTTTCCAGAAAAGCAAATAAATATATAAAGGAGAGATCAAATGATTTTTCCATCAGTTAGCATCCAAATGTTTATAGCTGAAATGGATCTAGGATACTGGGGGGTGGGGGTGGGGGAATGAGGGGTAGGGTACAAAAGGGTTGTCTGGACACTATGGATAGTCTTTAATTCTTACAAATTAGATTCAGATAAAGTCATTCTGCAAACTGATGTGATATGGCATTCCAATTTGTATAAATTGGTGCAGGATGACTTGTCTAAATGCTTCAGTTTGTAACAGCTTATATTTAAATGATCTTCTGTGAAATAGCTTTCCTTACCATTTCTATACATATTCATTTAGACACGCTGTCAGCATTCAAAGATAGCCAAGCAGGAAGAGAAAAATCCTAATACAATGACAAGACAATTTCCTTAGTTAATGTAATCAGATAGTGTGGCTATGTTCCCTGTTAATCTGAATTTAGTTCAAATAACTAAAAAGTTTTGTTCACTCTGTGATAAAATTGACACTTGCAAAATAGGTTTCTGACAATTCACATAAATTTATTTTTTCAATGATCATTTAGTGCAGGAGGCTTTTGAAAAATGCATAGACTTGACATTAGTCAGGATGAAATAACCTGATTTCTAAAAAAGTTCTCCATCAAATGTCTTACCAGGTCCCCATGGTGTATGAGGTGTCTGCTTAATAACTGCCATTCATTTTACCTTATTTATTTATTGCGTTACCTTGGAAACTTACCAACATAATTCACCAACACACTTTTTAAAGCAGATTATCTCATCTAATGATTAAGACTGAATGACAAGAGGAGACAAAAGGGAAAGGTACTTTGGTGTTATTTTGCCTAAGATTCTTTTTTAATAAGAGAATTGGACAACTAGTGATAAGGCAGTGTTTCTCAAACTTACTTGCTCTGAGACTTACCTGGGGTGCTTGTTTAAAAATATGAATTCCCAGGTCTCATCCCTAGAGGTGGTGATTCCTGAGGTTTGGGATGGGGCTCAGGAATGTGTATTATTAAAAGCACTTGGGTACGTTTTACAATCAGGCCAATGTGGGAAATGCTTGGTGTCGTGGAGAGAACACTGACCTAGTCTTAGGGTTCTAAACACCAAGGTAGCCAGCTCTCCCATGTGCCCTTAACAGAGTCATTTTACCTCATTGGGTGTAAATTTCCTCCATTGTAGAAACAAAACAAACAAAAAAGATTGGTTGTAGTCTATAAACCCTGTGAAGACAGGAAGCGGCTGGGTTTCACTCACTGCTCCATCCCCTGGGCTTAGCCTGGGGCCTGGCACAGAGAAGCCTCTTGGTTCATAGTTGCTGATTAGTTTATTATTTAGACAACCTATAAGATTACTTTCAATGTAAAAAATTATGTGATTGTAAAATAAATAAGTAATAAAATAATGCATTGGATATTTATAAAATAACAATTATTCTCAAAACAAAATATAAACCAAGAAAGACCCCCACTCCTTTTGACTGGTTTCAGGGCTGCACGCTCCTGGTAGGCATTTCAAAGAGTCTGACTCTGGCGATCTGAGTTCCTATCTTCCTCAGTTGCCGTGATGATCATAGGTAATGAACTGGAAGCATAGGTAAGTTCTCCTGCTACACACACAGAGGTACTATAGTCAAAATAGGTCTTCTAAAATTTTTGTTATGTTAGTCTCAAAACATACTGTGAAATAACAAGCCTAGAATTACCAGGACCCTTCCCTGGGACATGTGGACTGTGAAGAAATAAATGCTTTTGAAAATGATTATAGAGGAAAAATAAAACGTTGAAAAGTTTACTTTCAAATTAAATGTGCTTAATAATGTTTTAAAGCATTTATTCAATTATCTACTTAAACCTTTCCATACATTATGTATCTAATATAACTTGAAGAAATGGTTCTCAAAGGCTGGCCCCACACCAGCAGCAGCAATATCACCTTGGAAATGCAAATTCAACCTAATGAATTAGAAACTTGGATGTAGGATAATAAAAATCTATGATACAAGTCTACCAACTTAAGGTAAATGGGACTATAAAACCAAATTCAAAGAAGACAGCTCAACTTTCTATAAACCTCCCACAATGCATCAGATCTGAAAAAACACACAGCATATATCTATTCAACTGCATAGCCATACACTTAATTAGCAAACATACAACAAACTCACATTTGTATAATAACTTCAGTTTTCTTCTTTTGAAAACAAATTTTGAGATACTGAGCCTGAATGAAAACAATGTAAACCACTGGCTTTTTAGGATATGCAAGTCCTCATTTCTCAACTTTACAAGTAAAATATAAATTTTTAATAAAAACATTACCAAATTTAATATTATTAAAATAACAATAATAAATGAGACTATGAATATGCAATGCAAAGTCATAAGGTTTGGGTCCTTTTTTTAAAGTCCAAATAGCAATTCTGATTTAAAACTAGTGATGTGTACAATTCTAAGGATAACTAGGTATTATAAATGTATGATTCTATGTTAAAAAAAAAACAACTTTAAGCCAAAGAAATCTGAAAATCTTAAAATTACAGTTTCTCAGATGTACCAGCAAAAAAGAAAGAGATTTTAAATTTGAGGACAGAGTAGAGATGGAAGTATTGATGAGAGAAACAGAGATCCATCCACTATCACAGTCTTCCCAAGTGAAAGAATTTGAGAAGGCACAGTAAGAAGGTTATAGAATGACTGTCCAACACGACCCTTAAGTATGCTTTTTCCAGCATCCCCCCCCACCCATGCCCTACAATTCACCAAGATAAATAGGTTGGCTTAAATGTAAAGAAGAAGAAACAAACAATTCACATGTAATGGCTCCTAGTCAGGAACACTGAATGGCAGGGTGCTGATGACCTCTCCAGACTCGGTGACAATGGCATCGTAAACCCACTTCCGGCTGCAGCGGCACTCGGGCCCACACTTGTTGGAGTTACACTTGGGGCAGGGGTAGAAGCAGCCCAGGCAGTTCTTCTCCAGGCAGTCGCACAGATCAGCATCGTTACAGATTAGCCGGCCACTTTTGTCATACTTCTTCATAATTCTGCAAAGAAAAAGAATGACACTAACACAACAGTGCACTGTTCCTCAACACTGAGGATAAATTATTATGCAACAACTTCATTAATGTGATCCCTTTACTCAGAGGAAACAGTACCCTAGAGATTACCCAGCAACACTTCAAAATATTATATGGCAGTGATGTTCTGGGAAATTCAGCCAATATGTGTTCTATAGTTTCATCAACACTGATATTATCAGACTGAACTCTTTGCTGTCTGGGGAGTGGGGCACTTCTCCATGCATTACTGATGGGGCTCAGTATCCTGAGTGTTTATTAGCCTTTTCTTCTATGAAATGTCTGTCCATTGTTTGGTTCATTTTTTTCTCAGAGGAAATTTACCTTTTTAAAAAAAATTAACTTGTAGAATTCTCTATAGATTTTGGACACTAATCTTTTAAATTATAAGTAACTTTTCCTACCTTGTGATTTGTGTATCATTATTTTAGGGTGTCTTTTATTGGTTATAAATCCTTAATTTCAAAGTAGTAGAACTTATCAAGCTTTTTCTTTGTGGCTTACTTAGTTTACACTTCTGATGCACTAGCAATCATTGTACTTATGACACTTCATGCTGATTTGATATCTGAATCCACTCCCATGGTTATATTATTTCTCCTTCAAATGATGTATCTTACTTTTAATCACTTTCCCTACTAAATTTCTCTGAAGCTTTTTTTTGAAATTGAATTCTAGTTTGGGATTATCGTTTATTTGTTAAAGTTACTAACTTCCAGATACATCGGGTGACACTGTACTTTAGAAACATATATTTAAATCATAAACAAGAGACAACCTTTAATTACTTTGCTTTGTCAAGTAGAACTCGTGCATTTTATTATCCCAGAGATCAAATAAAATAAATCATGATCTTACTTGTAATTCACAGAAAAATACTCATTCATCTTTGACATCCGGGCTTTCTTTTTCTGCTGTCGTGTTTCAGGATTAAAGTCTGCTACCTGGGGTCCAGGGTTTTGAAATGCCAAGCATCTTAACTGCCGCTCTATCTGTTGCTATGAAACAAATAAAATGCATTAGCAGTAAGAACTGGATAGCTTTATCTATTTTACCTTGTGTCAAAATAAATTTTCTGTAATGTTTACCATAATGGCATGGAAGACAGATATTATTACGTAGAGAAATAACCAGTTTAATCTGATTAAGTTCCAGAAGATGATGTAAATTTTCTCAAGTTAAGTCATTCTTTCTGAACAAAGAAATCCATAGTATAAGACATGTAAAAACAAACCAACAAATGGGAACATAATTCTTTTTATACCAGCAAAACACCAGCTGGCTCCTCAAACATGATGGGGATGAAAGTGAGAATTAGCATTTTGTGGTAGAGAAGGACAAAGGAGCAAAGGCCTTTCCACAGTTGTCGGCTGAAGAAGCCCGGGTAAACTGTGTCACATCACAGAGGGCCCAAGTACACGCGGTCCTCCCTTCCGTGCTCTGGGACATTTCGGAAGGACTGATACCCTGGGAGTGTGGGCTCTACCAGGGCTCCGGCGCAGACCGCAGCCAAATGAAGTTTACACTCTCAGGCAAAGCCAGATTTGAAAAAAAAATCTTGCTAAAATGCTGTCTAGAGTGTTAATGCAAATTTTCAAAAGTCTCAGTTTGGGGTTATTTATAATTCCAAATTAATGGGGCTTAATCAGGAACACAAGTAACAAAGATGCTTCAAGCAATACCGATGTCTTATTTTGAACATGTGTCATATATGTAATGAGGGAAGGGAATGCTTTTTTTTTTTTTTTTTTTGTAAATATATATTTTATTGATTTTTTACAGAGAGGAAGGGAGAGAGACAGAGAGCTAGAAACATCGATGAGAGAGAAACATTGATCAGCTGCCTCCTGCACATCTCCCACTGGGGATGTGCCCGCAACCCAGGTACATGCCCTTGACCGGAATCGAATCTGGGACCCTTCAGTCCACAGACCGACGCTCTATCCACTGAGCCAAACCGGTTTCGGCGGGAATGCTTTTTTAAAGGATTTTATAAGGATAACCTGAGTGGCCCAAAAACATATAGGCTACTATACAAGGCTACTATACAAGGGTATAGGGGTAAAAGTAGGTTTAGTTATTCATATGGAAAATAATACAATAATTAATAAATAGGAGGGATCCAAGATGGTGGCAGAGTAGGGGGACATTACACTCGCCTCTTCCCAGAACAAAACTGGAATTACAATTAAAATAGAGAACAATCAACCTGAATAACCAAGTGAAGATTCACTGAAGAAAAGTCTTATAACCAAAGATTTATAGAAGAAGCTACATTGAGACTGGTAGGAAGGGTGGAGGGGAGAAAAGGGCTAGCGACTACTCCCACAAGCGGCAGCTGAGATTCTGGAGGGTTATCTCAGCTGCAAAGGTTCCACCTGAGAAATGTGGGGCATAAACCCCAAGCTGGTTCCCCAGTCCTGAGAACCAGAGATGGGAAGGGGTGCCCACATAGCATCTGTCTGTGAAAATCAAGCGGAGCCCTCCCTTTACACAACCAAATTTTGGTCTCATTGGGCCTGATAACTCCCTGAGACCCTGCCCCCACCATAAGGTGTGCAAAAATTCAGCAGGTGACAGCTAGATTTGGTATACCCTGGGACATTTGTTGAATGGCCTCAGACCCAGCATTGGCTCCGAGTTTGAAACTGTATTGATCTGGTGAACACCACTCATCTCTGCCTGGTGACTCACTGTGAACCTACTTCATGCAACTCAAGTACCACTAGAGGCTCTTCAGTGACTAAGCCTAACAGGCAGCCAGCAGATGGAGGCAGGTGGCGGTGGATCTTGGGGTGCCTTGGAACTTTTACTGAATTTCAAAAGATGCTGGTAAAAGATGGCCTTGGTGCACAGCTTGGTCCTTCCTGCACACACAGGCTCAGCAGAGGCAGCCAAAAACTATGGATTGCTTTGTAGCTTCAAAGAGGTTGCTCAGGGCCAGTCACAGGCAGCATCTGACATGGACCTGCACTAGAGTCTCTCCCAAGAGGCACAGAACCAACATAGCCAGTGGCCAGCTTTAGACAACATCAGAGCAGAAACCAAATAGCTTCACAAACAGCATAACCAAAGGGAGAACTCAACAGGTACCAGACCCTGCTGAGGCAAATTCTATTCTGAGGTACAGCAGCTTGTACACTGAAAGCCAGCCAGTCTGAGGGTTGACACCACAGATGAACAGGCTAATAGAAAGAAATACTTAAGTACAACAGGAAGGTCCACTTAATACACATAAGAGACATTGCCAGGATCACCAACTTCAGGTGGTCAAGGGGACTGCATCACTGGGTCCCACAGGACACTTACTATATAATGTTACCCTTCCAAGACTGGAAGTCATAGCAGATCTAATATATAAACAAACAAAATGCATTCAAAAGGCAGTCAAAATGGGGAGACAAAGAAAGATGCCCCAAATGAAAGGACAGGAGAAATCTCCAGAAAAAAAAAAAAGCTAAATGAAGCATAGGTAAGCAATTTACCAGATATCCCATATTATAAAAAGCTTGTAGTCGTGATGCCCTCATGCTGTAACAAACAATCACCAGGAGGCTGCGTGCATGGCAGGCATTCACGGGTGGGCGGGGCTGCGTGCATGGCGAGGTGCACATGGGTGGGCAGGGACTTGATGCTGCATCCCTGCGGGCACCGGCGGGTCTGGGTCTTGTGTGATTTTGAGGGCGTGTGGGTAGGTGGGGACTTGACTCTGGGTCTCGCAGTGCCGGCAGGACTTGACACTGAATCCCTGCGGGCGTCGGCCCAGACTCTGACAGGAGGGAGGAGGGAGCCAAATACCCACACCCAGGACTTGGAACATAGTGATATTAAAATATTTCTTCTAATTAATTCCCTTTCAATGTGCACAAATTCGTGTACCAGGCCACTAGTAGAGTTCATAAAAACAATTATAAGGATGCTCAAGGAACACAGTGAAAAATTCAACAAAGAGATGGAAGATAAAAAACGTCACAGAAACCATAAAAAAATAACCAGTCAGAAATGAAGAATACAATATCTGGTTAAATGAAGCGGAAGATGGAACAAGCGATTTGGAAATGATAGTAGAAAACACCCAATCAGAGCAGTCAAAGAAAAACAAACTTTTTTTATATATATTTTTTATTGATTTTTTACAGAGAGGAAGGTAGAGGGATAGAAAGTTAGAAACATCGATGAGAGAGAAACATCGATCAGCTCCCTCCTGCACACCTCCTACTGGGGATGTGCCCGCAACCAAGGTACATGCCCTTGACTGGAATCGAACCTGAGACCTTTCAGTCCGCAGGCCGATGCTCTATCCACAGAGCCAAACCGGTTAGGGCAAGAAAAACAAATTTAATGAAAATAGTTTAAGGAACCTTTGGGATGACATGAAGCATAACAACATCCATATCTCAGGAGTACCAGAAGAAAGAGAGAAAGAGCAAGGGATTGAGAAACAATCTGAAGAAATAATGACTGAAAACTTCCACAATCTGAAGAAGGAAAAAGACCCATGTCTAGGAGGTATCAAGCGACCTGATATAGAACTACACTATAAGGCCATAGTGATCAAAACAGCATGGTATTGGCATAAAAGCAGACATATAAGTCAATGGAACAGAATAGAGAGCCCAGAAATAAACCCATGCCTTTATAGTCAATTAATATTTGACAAACAAGGCAAGGACAACAATGGGATAAAGATAGACTATTCAATAAATGGTGTTACAAAAACTGGACAGATAAATGGGGAAAAAATGAAACTAGACCATCTTCTTACACCATACAGAAGAACAAACTCAAAATAAATTAAAGATTTAAATGGTGGACCTTGAAACCATAAAGAAGAAAACATAGTAATAATCTCAGACATTTCTTGTAGCAATATTTTTTCTGATATATCTCCTTGGGCAAAGGAAACAAAATAAAAAATTGGATTACATCAAACTAAAACATTTTTATACAACAAAGGAAATCATCAACAAAATGAAGACAACTTACTGAATGGGAGAACATATTCGCCAATGATATATCTGATAAGAGGTTAATATCTAAAATTTGTAAAGAACTTTATACAACTCAACACCAAAAAAACCAAACAATCCAATTAAAAAATGGGCAAAGGACCTGAATTAAAACTTCTCCATTTAGGACATACAGATGGCCAGTAGATATATGAAAAGATGCTCAACATCAGTAATCATCAGAGAAATGCAAATAAAACCACATTAAAACATCACCTCACACCTCAGAATGGCTACCATCAATAAATCAAGAAACAAGTGTTAGCAAGGCTGTGCAGAAAAGGAAACCCTGATGGACTGTTGATGGGAATGCAGATTGGTGTAGCCACTGTGAAAAACAGTATGGAGTTACCTCAAAAAATTAAAAATGGAACTGCCTATGACCCAATTATTCCACTTCTGGGTATATATCCAAAGAAACTTGAAACACAACTTGAAAATTGAAAAATACATGTGCTCCCCTATGTTTGTTGCGGCGTTATTTAAAATAGCCAAGATTTGTACAAAGCCCAAGTGCCATCAGTAGATAAGTGAATAAGAAAGCTGTGGTAATTTACACAATGTAATACTACTTAGTTTTAAAAAATAAGGAAATCTTACCTTTTGTGACAGCATGGATGGACCTGCAGAGTATTTTGCTAAGTGAAATAAGCCAGTCAGAGAAAGACAAGTACCATATGATTTTGCTCATATGTGGAATCATATGATTTTGCTCATATGTGGAATCTAATGAATAAAATAAACTAACTAACAAAATAGAAACATACTCATAGATACATAGATCAGGCTGACAGCTGTAAGAGGGAAGGGGGGTTGAGAACTTGGTGAAAAAGGTGAAGGGATTAAGAAAAAAAACCTCATAGACACAGACAATAATACGGGGATTAAAAAGGGGGATAAATGTTGATGGAAGAGATTTTACTTGGGGTGGTGAACACATAATACAATATGAAGATGATGTATTATATAGCTGTACATCTGAGACCTATATACTAGTAATTTTATTAATCCATGTCATTCTAATAAACTCAATACAAGCATTAATAAAAATTCTGAAACTGAGAGGCACAGCGGAGATACATGAGGTGCAACCAGCTTAGCGATGAGTAGAGTTAAGAGGAAGAAAAGGCCCATCATTATGGGGAGGGGGCAGAAATCCTCTATGAGGAGTCCTGAGTTAGCCCACCTTTCCCTGCAAATCTGGGGCCTCTCAGGAACCCCCATGCTGGAAACTCCCCAAATTCTATGGAATCGTAATATCCATACGCCATACCAGTTGCTTTTGTCCGATTTGACAGTTTTTCTCAGGAGAACTTTGACCTCTGAGTCCCTCTTCAGTGGAAGTGGTTTTTTCTGGCTGTTCACTCATTTCTGATCACTAAAAAAGGTAAGTAGAAAAAAGTAAAACACATTAATTTCATGCATCCCCAGTAACTTAATCCTGTGTGTTCCACTTCTATGGGAACAGATGCACAGGTGACCCAGTGAGCCTCATTTGGATATACCAATACAGACGCCAAAGGGTACTTTATTATTTAGGTCGAGCTTAAACCAAACTAAGAAGAGAGGAGACACAGGAGACAGAGTACAAGAATCACACAGGTTTATTTACCAGAGAGCTGATGAGTTTCAGTCCTTCGCAGGCCACCCGGAGACACTCGCTGACAGAGACACACGAGGTCGTCAGATACGCAGCTGCAGGTGCTCGGTCTCTTGACACAAAGAGAGGCCTCTAACAATCTGGGCTCAGGGCAGAGCAGGAGTGGCAGAAGTTCCAGGGGTAAGGAGAACGCCTCGTCTGTGGAGGGCAGACAGGCGTCTGACTGCTGGTGTGAGAGTCTTTCTTTTATACCCGATGGATGGGCTTCTTCAGTGTCTCTTATCAGCGTGCTCCGGTGGTGCCTTCTGGGCTTATCGGGGTACACATGCAGGGGTTTGCAAAGTACTTACCTGGGATGCACACACACACAGGTTAAGTTTCACTTCTAATACAAAATGAAGTTATGCCTCCAATGTAAGATGGAGTTTTAGAATGAACTTTATAATACTAAACCACACACTAATACAATTTTATTTCCTATCACTATAAATTCAAACTTATTACTATAACACTGTGACTTTCCTGCTCTCTTCCTACATCTTTCTTTCAAAGCCAGATCTCCATCTGCACACCTGGTTTCTTTTTTGCCACTCACTCTTTTGTTCTTGTTTGTTTTGTTTGTGCATTTATTTTGATTTTTAGGTTCCACATATAAGTGAAATCATGTGGGATTTATCTTCCTTTGTCTCACCACTCACTCTCAAATCCTGCATTTGACTCCCCTGTCCACTTTACTGATGCTCTCCTTTGCCAGTGTCCCATGAGCAAATCAATGGCACCTCTTACAGTTCTTAGCATCGCAGACCTCACTGGAGCAGGCAACACCAGAACCACTATCTACTGCTTAACAAAACTGAATTCTTAGATCTCTATTTTTGCCCTTTTATATTCCCTTAAAAAAAGGTAAGACACATTAATGTTATATATCCCCAGTAAGTTTGTGAATATCTTATCCACTCCCATGGTTTCAGTTGTCTCTTCTTCAGAGACCTTTCCCCAGGCTGACCTCCTGAAAATTTTCTAATACAACTTGTGCTAAATGGAAGTAATCATTTTCCCATAAATCTGAGCTGCTAAAATGCCTATAATTTACTTTGAAATACTTCAGTATGTATCCAGGGTGCCTGTGTGTGTGTGTGTGCGCGCGCGCGCATGTGTGTGTGACTTAGGTGAAGCTAACACAGGATGCTAATCACAAATGCACCATCCAGGCTGCTCTGCAGGTTCTGTCAGAAAGGACCACCCACCCTCGAGAGGAGGCTTCCACAGCCCTGCTGCTTTCCCTCTCTCTCTCTCTCTCTCTCTGTCAACTGAGGGCACTGACTATAGGGTCCCGTTTCTACCAAAGGAAACTAAGAATTATGCTTTATCAAGATGGCCTGGGTTCTTTGGCACCACCACTTGCCTGCCAACTGGAAATTCCATTTCTGTCAATGTACCTTCATTCTCCCTGTGTCTAGAGTCACTGACATTGACTGCTCACTTTTCTGTATCGCCCATCTAATTAATTCTCAACATTAGGTTAGGAAGTTGAATTTTCCCTCCCAATATTCCTAATATTGATTCTTCCTGTCCACTCCCTGTCAGGTGCTACCCACCCTGAAGATAGTAGTACTACTAATAGTACCTTGCCCTTGGCCAGAACAGCCTGAATGTTCCTGTCAGCTTGACTGAAATGCAGACAGGCTTCTTCCAGGCTGTGTCCCTTGACCTCCCTCTTCTTGGAGCACTTACTTCCCAAAACTTGTAATTGTAAATTCTTTTTCTTCCCCATCGAGATGTAAGTCATCTCCCAGATTCTCTCACTTTTACAACCCAGCAAGGCCTTTCTCAAGGATTAGAAGCCATCCCTTAGAAATGTAACCAGCTGGAAAGATAGTGTCCCTATTTGCCAGTCTCTGGGGGAAGGTAGAAGCCTAACTGGCTAATTGGTGGGAACCAATTAGCAAACACAGGTGGCCAAATCACAGAGATAAACATTTGCAAACTTGGGAATAAGTCAATGTGCTCTACACATCCCACTGACCTATCTCTTTCCTAAAATACTCTAGTTTTTTCCTTTTCCCTTTGGTTTACGTGGAGTTGAGTTCAGACTGAGTTCTGGTTTCTCTCCCCATTACAATAGCCTTGAATAAAGTCATCACAGTCTGTTTAACTTTGTCCAGTGCAATTTTTGCTTTGACATTCTCACATTGTTTCTCATCTGATCAGGCCAACATTCCTGTGGAGTATTTTCCAACTTGTCAGAAGATAAAATCACATGGAGCAGTTTTAAAAATGACAAATTCCAGACCTACTGGGGATATAATTTGCAGAGCAGAATCTTGGAAACCTGTATAATTAATAAGCTCTCCTAGTGAATCCTATTCTTAGGCATTATGGAAGATGTTACGATAGGGAAAGCAGAGATAATTTTATCCATCTGTCTTGCCACCTGATTATCAAACTATTGTCCATATTTACTTCCCACACCCAATTCAACTAAAAACATGTGGTCATGTTGATATTCCTGCATCAGAAATTTCTTTATCTCATTCTTACTAAAAGATTTCACTGACTCCCTCTGTCAATAATGTTCCACATCCCTGGCATATCAGTGAAGATCCATCACAACCGTCTCCAATCTACCTGTCTAGGCTCATAGTCCCTCATTCTTTCACTTGGGCGAAAACTAGCTGACTCTTCATTTCTTGAACACACTTCCCATCTCTTACTCTGATCTACTTCTCTGCTCCAAGAAGCCCCTCCATCACCCTAGAATTCCAAGATCCCTTTCTCTCTGTTTATAGCTTCCTCAAGAAAATTCCCCCCAAAGGGCCCTAAGCCCTCTAGCTTCTTCATGTAACAAATTTCCCTCCCCCTGGGAATATAGATGACCTTGTGATCACCTTTGAAAGCAAGAACTGTTCCTGAAGAGGCATCCATTTAACTGCATTGGGAGAAATGAATATTTTATGCAAATACTCTCCCTGAGATGCCTTTGTTTAAGTCCTTGTAGAATGTTGGTCTCCACAAATAGATTAGAGGGAAAAATTGCTCCTTTGTATTCCAAATAAAACAAAAGAAAATTATAATAGAACCTCATCAGGGACTAAAACTATAATTGGATTTATTACAAGCCCAAAATATCTGTCCCAGGAAAAGTAATAAAAAGTTTCAGAAGTCCCCCTTTTCCCAGGTTGGTATTCCCAAGCAGGGGTTCTTAACCAGAGAGTGAATGCAGGGGGCCTTCAGCTTGGATCAATAAAGAATAATATACTTATTTTCACTAATTTCTAACTGAAATTCTAGCATTTCCTTCTATTATAATGCAACCAACAAACCTCAACCGTGGTAGCAATACTTGTGACTTGGTTACCTATGAAAGCACAGATGGTTTCATAACCCATCAGAATTGTTATAGATAGGTCAAAATGTTATTTGTGCTTATCACTTCTTCAAAACAATGGTAGCTCTTAGACTAGATGCTAGATTTTGTTATATGTTAATAATGAAACACATATATAACTATCACAAATTGTTTTTAACATTTTGAAGTGTTAGGCCACAGAGCAGAGACATGGGCCAGGTACAGAAGCTCACCAGATGCCTGGCAGGTGACAAAACCGGAAAAACAAGAACCTCACCTCCAGGGTAACCTTTCCTCCCCTAGCATATCTGCTGATTGTGCACCCCCCTCCCCGCCACCTTTTCCTCCCTAAAGATAACATCTAGGCCTCAGTTGTATTTCAGCTCCAAGCCAAGAAAAGCAGCAAAACCAGATACGTGACACAGTGGCTGACTCAGGACCAGCTACATTGGTCGGACCTGCCCTGGCACTGACCATTCAGTGGAGACCATGACCCTGAAAGAGCACACCTGGAAAGTGATGAATATTCTATTAAGACCCTCCCCTGATACCTCCCCTAAGATTTCCACCTGCAAGAAAGAGATAAATTCACTCAGAACAAAGGACCCAGTGCATGCTATCCCTCCGAAGAGCACCCAGCTACGATTCCCCCATAGTCACATATCCCCCAACCTCTAACGGACCCCATGAGACTTGCAACCAGGGGAGCAATGGGCAGTGGCAGCTAACCCCCTGAACTGGTCCCCAAAGGCCCCTTTTCCTGACTTCTCAGTGAGCCAAAGCAGCCCAGCCTATGCTTTTCTGCTGCTTCTTCTCTAGGCCCTTCCTTGTTTCATTGCCTTAAGTATATTTTTGCTGCCATCATGGACCCAATACCCTTTGGCTCAGTGCTGTGCAGCCCTTCCCTTTGGATATCCCCACCACCTTCCCCTTTTCCTTAAATAAATTCAGTTTTTCTTTAATCACTGTCTGAGGTGGCTATTTAGCCTGCCCTCGCACCACTAGCTTTAACCTTGCAATAAGTATATTTCAGTATAATTGGTTTCCTTTGTAACCTTACAGATTGTGTCTTATATGATTAAAAACACCATTTGAAGAAATGGTCCATAGATATAACAGTTGGCCAAAGGGGCCCATAACACAAAACATAAGATTAAGAACCCCTGCAAAGAGACAGGGAGAACAGACTGCCACTACCACCTCCATTGATCATGGTGAGGAAAAAAGAACAGCTTCTAGCTATAGAAGATGCTCATCTTCAGGCATAAGGCTGGAAGCAATGTGGTCTATCCTGGGTTATTATTGCATTTAGTGGAACAAAAAGTGTATGACATCAATTTAGCAAACTCTCTATTTTGTGCTAACATTATGCTAGATTGCTTATAAAGACTTAAAATACAGTCAGACACAAAGAGAAGAGGCTCCCCCAAGTGGCAGATGTAACAGATTCCAAGAGCAGGGATCCTCAGAGCATGAACCAAGAAGGGTACCAGACTTGGGCCAGAATGGAAGTCAACTGCTTCACTAAGTACATTGGGTAGTTTAGCTGACATATTTCTTCATAGCAAGACTGTCTTCCAGAGGAGGCAATTCATTGATTCACGTTCTGGCATAAGCTCCTTGAATCACCTTGAACAGGAACCTTGACTAGCACTGGAGTACACACGCTATAACACTCAATTTCCTTCTATATTTAGTTCAATTTTCACATGTAAATTCCTATTTCTATTAGGTCAATAGCTCTGGAACCAGTATTATAATTTTCTTTACCCCCCAGCAAAACTAGGACTAGTACATATAGGCAGGGCTCAATAAATATCTCATGAATATTATGCTAATGTTACAGGTTCCAGGGC